TTCATGTCTAGGAATCATTTTATATTTTGAAAAATTCTCATCATTTTGTTAATGATCTTTCTGGTAGCCCACACTTTATCAATTTAGAGAGCTCTATTTTAATTTAATATTTCGCCCAATGGGATTTCTGTCAAATACCATGAAACTTGGTTTCTTTACCCTTCTTCAAATTTGTTTCTATATCCTGATTGGTTAAGCCACTTTGCACGCGTTTACCTCTTTACTTTTCTAATGTTATTTGGTGGTTAGAGATTAAATGAGGTTCTTGTCTAGAGAACTGAAACTATAGTATGTCCATTTCTACATTCATGTTTTTTTTCTATTTTTATTTTTATAACACTATTGTAAACTAAGTAAACCTTTACCTCTTTAACATTGAGCCATTGAGGAAAACTGTTCTAAAAATTTCCTTGTTTCACACTATTTTCTAAGTGGGAAAATAATTTTTTGATGGTTGAGAACCAACAATCATATTTTCGGGTTAAATCCAGAAATAACTCCAGGCTTTTCATATCCCATTTTATCCGTATGATTTCAGGCAATCTTTTTATTAAAATCTTATTTAGTTAATCCCTTTCTTTTATTGTAGCTCTCTAAGCTCGTATTTGAGGAAAATGTACTTTAGGAGAAATACATAAACGTAATCTTAAATTTTTTGATTGATTTATGATTACCCTTAAAATGTCTTTAGATGCTTTTAAAAGTTATAAGCGACACGATTTTTTAAAGTTTTATTTAAATTAGAATTAATTTATTGAGTTCCATACTCAGTTAATTGGTACACTTTGTATCAATATAATTCCTCCTTAGTTTTACAAGATATTTTCCTCGTTTCAACATTGCTGCAATTAATCTTGCAAACATTGATTAAGCCGCCTCACACTACAGCTCTACTAGTATCCACTACCAGTAATCCACTTAAGAAGATTCTTTGTGGAACCAACTAAACCAAGACTTGCTAAGATGCCGAATAAAGAATTATAATTTAATGCCAGGCTTGGCAACTAAACAAACCCAAACCTCGCATCGTAACTATTGTCTTTAGCTCAAATTTTTAAATCTTGACAGCTCACTTTACCGCCAAAGGCGTAGAACGCAATTATGAACTTCATTTTGTTCTTGTCCTTATATCTTCTTAAGTGTGGTTATGTTTAGAAAAGAGTATTTAAATATTTACGCTTTTGTTGAAGTGGAAAAGGTTTGGGGTGGAGGATGACATAATTAATGACCTCGGAAAATTGAAGTTGGTTGAGCCATTGGCGCTAAATTTGCTCACGGGAAACAAAGGGAACAAAGAACAAATTAATTGTTGCTTAAAGGATAGCCGCTTTCAAGAAGGTTCTTAAATGAAAGTGAAACGAAGGTTTTTTAAAAGGTAGTTTGAGAATGGAGCTGACTTATTGAAACTGTATGAAAAATGGATTGCATTCTATAGAAATTGCTTTTAACCTTTCTTTCAGATGAAAGTCGCTTTGTTACGGATGTTCATTTACATTTAAGACTTTGTATACTTTAGTTTTCTGAGCCCATGAAGTATATTAATTTTGTTACGTTTATTATTTTACTAAGTATATTAATTTTATTTGGTGAGGGTACATCAATTCTGTTGAGTTTACTGTTTATTTTTATTAACTATATTAATTTTGTTGCGTAACATACCTAACTCGTTGACTTGAGGAATCAGTGTTGCAAAAGTATAATGCACTTTATACAACCACATTTTTCATTTAAAAAGTATTTACAATCTTGCGGAAAACTAATTACTGAATAGTTTTCTATTTTGTTGAATTTGTTGATTAGTTTGATAAATGGGAAACTTCAAAAGATTTATAAATGTTTCAAAGTATCTTATAGTTAAAGTAAAGAAAATAGTAATTCAAATAAAGAACGATTGATTTGAAGGAAAATCGTTCTTCGTGTGAAACTAATTACGTTGAATTGATAGCACATTTGAATGTTCTAACTGGTGAGATTATTTCATCCTTTGCAACAATATTAGTTTATTTACTTTTTTATTAAATAATATATTTGTTATTTTATATGCCTTAGAATTCAATCACTTTTTGAGGAAAAATATGGTATGAAAAATTATTCACACTTTCCAAACCAAAACTTAAGTTAAAAAAAAAATTATAATAATTTTCAAATTTTGAGTTCATTATTTTTTAAAATTATTTTTAAATAGCAAGAGCATCTTTTATTAAGCATATGGCATCAATATAATTTTATTTAAATTTTGAAAACAAAATTTACAATCCTAAACAAATTCTGAAAAAAAATGTTAGATATTCAATTTATTATTGCTTGAGAACTCACTTTTTAAACCAAAAATGCTATTAAATAAATACGCTAATGATATAAATGCTTGCCATTATTGTGAATTTAAATGAACTCACTAGTTTATTATTTATATTTTAATATGCATGTTAAAAAATAATTATTTATTATTTACTTAAGATGTTAGATTGTATTATTGTTGGAACTAATATGATTCGTATTGTTTTCGTGTACTTTAAATAATTAAGGTCTGTCATTTCAAAAATACCAAATTTGGTATGACTCCATAATTTGGAAGTCATTTGAATTAAATCGGTAAAAATTTCTAATCGGGTGAATTTTAAATCTCCATAACAGTAAATCAATTAATATGTAAAATATCCCTGTTCAAATTGCGGTAAAATATACTGTCACTCAGGGTACCTTTATTTTTACGGTAAAACTTATTTTTATCAGAACTTGTAACGGAAAAAACATATATACAGTAATTTTTACAGTAAGAATTAATGTAAAACATTTGATTCAATTTATATCGTAATTTAATCCACAAATTTTCACATTTTAATTTATTTTAATTAAATCGAAAGATAACGAAAATCAGATAGTTAATTTCAGAGAAAGAAAGATAATGAGTATAATAAAAATTAGAAACATTCTTCACTAGATTTGGAACATCGAAATCTTTTTTATTTGGTAAAAAATAAAGAACATTAAAAGATATGATTATTTGTTTGAAAGACCTTTCAGTTTCATCTGAATTATTTAAAGCAAGTTTTAATATTTTAACTGTCATTTTTCTTCATGGCTGCTTGTTAAATTTTGATGTCCTTCTTGTGTTTTTCTCTCTAAAATATTAATTTACACCCCACGTAATATCTAAACTGCTTTTTTACGCCATTTATGATAATGATTTCGAAAATATGTATTATTGACGCTGATTATGAAAGTTCGTGAAAGAAAAATAAAATATTCAAGGTTGCCACAAATATTTTTGAACAATTTCTGAGAGAAACGGTTAATAGTATGCCAATTTTTTTATTAAACGAGTCCAACTTTCGAATCCATCCAAAAGCAGAAATTCCTTGTAAATTTCCTTGCTTAAATTTCTGTGTACGTTTATTCTAACTAGATTGCTGCATCCAAATTGTTTAATTTGTTATGCGATTAGCCTCAGTTTTATCTTCAGAAGTCTTAAATTAGTTTTAATATACAAGTTAAGACTTTGAGAAAAATTTACTATTCATGTCGATTAATCAATAAAGCATCTCGTATTCTTATCTGCTAAACAACGCTTTTTGTAACAATGTAATTTTGTTTACAGATTCAACATGTATTTTTTTTCACAATAATTTTTGTCGTATCGTCAAACATATTAGAGCGCTTTTTAATAACTCTTCTGTTATTAAACTGTTCTTAATAACTCATTATATAACTGTTCTTAATAACTCAGCGACTAAAATACTTTTTTTCACGGATTCCACTGTACTTTTCTTCACCAGTATTTTTGTCATGATCTTTAGATACAACGTCAAGTGATAAACATAATTTCGCGTTTAACAATGTATCTTTTTTTAGGGATTCCGTTTACAATGTTTCGTTAATTTTTTTTTGTAATAATTTGATATCATTCATTAAAACTTTAATCATGTACTTTTATTACAGATTTATAAATACAATCCTTTTACAATTCTTCTTATGACATTTTTAAGTATAGCATCTCTTAGTTCAGAGTTTTTAATAACATTTTGTTAAAAATGGTGTGAATTTTTCGATCTTGTTTTTGGACTAAAAATGCTTATTTTAAACTATTTGTTAAAGTGTTGCATAAGTTTCCACTGCGAAGAGTTTTTTTTTCAATTACAACTAAAATTGACTCTAAACTTCAATAAAAAAATTTCCCACAATAATTATTTAACAGTAATAAAGTAATAAAGTTAGTGAAACATTGTAATAATTTGATATCACTCATTAAAACTTTAATCATGTACTTTTATTACAGATTTATAAATGCAATCCTTTTGCGATTCTTCTTATGACATTTTTAAGTATAACATCTCTTAGTTCAGAGTTCTTAATCACATTTTGTTAAAAATGGTGTTAATTTTTCGATCTTGTTTTTTGAACTAAAACTGCTTATTTTAAACTATTTGTTAAAGTGTTGTATAAGCTTCCACTGCAAAGAGCTTTTTTTAAAATTATAACTGAAATTGACTCTAAATAAAAGTGACAATAAAAAAATTCCCCACAGCCTTCATAAAATAGAATTCTAGCGAAAGTGAATATTAACAAAAATATTTTGCAATTATTTTTTCAAAATAAAAAAATAATATGACATTATGTATAACAGATAAAAATTTATTGAACATCGTGTTCTCAAAGTGCATAATTTTCGCTATTTTCTCCATGGGAATAACACTGTTAATTAAAATTATTTTCGACACCATAACAAGTGTTAAGGACTTTCAATTTTAAAAGTTCGGGGAAAAATTATACTATTATAAATAAAAGTGCACAAAACGAACTTATATATATATTTTTAATAATTTGTATTGAAAACTTTTAAGACAGTTAAGTGCTAAATTTTTAAAAAAAATTTAAGCTTTGAAATTTTCAAAGTTGTTGAATTTAGATTAATAATAAAATATTTCTTTCACTATTCTTGATATTAAGATTTGAATATTTGCTACATTCATTAAAATATTGTGTTTCACTTATTTTTCTAGTTATCAAAGTCTGGTAGTCAAAGCGTTTATCTAAGGCATGTTGATTTAAATAGTGCCGGAATCTATCGCTGTGAAGTATCGGCAGAAGCTCCCGAGTTCCAAACTGTCGAAGCTGAAAAAGAAATGAAAGTTTTAGGTAAGCTTCACTATTTTGAGTGCCATGAAACTTCTTCTTTATTATAATATTTTAAGGCTTTTATACCGTTGAATAAATACATCGTTTTTTCGACAGATTTGGATTTTTGACCCTCAAAATATATGGGGTAGCAATAATCTGGAAACTATGGTTCTATTAGTTTGGTCAAGAGAGTGGTCGAACAATCGGACTCCTTGATGTTAATTTCTCCTTTTGGGTATTTCGTCAAATCTAGAGAGTTTTTTTAAACGAATCGAAACATTTTTGCACACAATTTTAAAATTTGTTGCATTTAAAAATAATTTCATTCAAAATATAATTTTTAATTATAATTTATTACTTTTTTCTTATTTTATTTAACGATAATCAAAGAAATATGGAATTGTGTGAGATATACCAGATATTTGGTTTTTGTAATTTTATAAGGCTAAATACAAAATTTGAATGAAATCCTTCGATTAGTTAGATCCCTTCTAAATCATTTTTTTTTAAATACACGAGTCCTTGAAAGGCTACTTTCTTTGAGTCCTTTCTGGAAGTCTACTGTCATCAACGTTTCTGCGAATACAAAACGCCGTCCTAAAATTGCTGCATAAATACATATAGTCGGGTATAGTGCGGCTCTCAGGAAAACTCCTTCAGACATCAGTTTCGCGTCGTGACGGGTACCATGGTTACAAGGAAATGTCACTTTGAATAGGGGTGTGAGGGTGAATAGTTTTGTCTTGATCTTTGCATAGGTCAACGTGAGGAAATCAAATGATCACATTCATTTCTCCCCATTAGAAATGGGCTCTCGCTTGTTACCATAGCAGCAGACAGCCCCAGACTTTTAGTCTTGAGGACTTCTCCTCATAGCCGCACTATAGCTACAGCAGGCATTGCATTCCTGCCTTGACCACTATGATCCCTGGATCTAACCCCATGCGATTTTTCTGTGTAGCTTCATAAGAGATCGCGTGTATGCTTGTCTGGGACAGATTTGAAAGCTGCTATCGTTAACTTTAAGATATTCCTGCTTCAAATAGTTTGGCAAGAATGACATTTCGACTTTCTGCGCATAGCAAAAGAAACTCAGATTAAACATTTGTGAGGAGTGCATTCAAAACTAGCTCATTGCTTCTGGCTGTATAAATATTTTTAATGAATATCTTTATTACGTTTCGCTTAGTACTCTTATGAAACTGGGGTATTTATTTTGACTTACCTTGAATTTTTAACCCTTGTCTAAAATTAAGTCAAAATTTGCACATCCTAGATTTTGCAAAATAAGAGCTGATTATCAAAATTAAAAGAATTTTCTAATTTCTTCGTCTCATCTAATGAACCAATTTAAATGTAATTTGTACACAAATAAGAGGATAAAATGCAGACAAAATAATTATTCAATAGTTGCAATAACACTCATTGGCGTCGATTGACATGAAGCAGTTTATACAAAATATGAAGATTTCTTGCTTAAACATTAATTTTTGAGCCCTAAGGTGGAATCCTAATAAAAATAAGCTCTAAATTTATTTTTATTAGGATTCTTTAGGATTTTTATTAGGATCAAAACAAATGGCAAATTTGAAACATACTTCGTAATATCAAATGCATATCACTTTAAAAATTTAGCGAATAGTTAAATGCGTAAAAAATAAATTCCATACAGGATTTGTAATAAAAAACAGAAATAATATATTACATGGAACACATTTGTAACTTTTCAATTTCTCTTAAACATTCAAATTTTAGTGATCAAATAACATAGATTTAAAAATAGTTTTTCTTACTGTAATATTCTCCATTATAGTAATCAACTTAATTAACTGCGTGAAAGATTGGCAACGGTTGAAATGATAAATGCACTCCTTCTCTAAGCTTTTAAAAACCTTGATATTATTTTTTTAAAAGTAAATTCAGTTCTTATTTAAACATGTAAATATTTATTTAATATTTAATAATTGCTGCTTTCTTGTAAGCACCCTCATTAACTACATAATAGTTTGACAATGATTGAAAGAGCAAACATACTTTATGTATGACTTCAAATACGATTTTTCTTTTTTTTTTTATGTCACATTTAGACGCACATCAACCTACGCTTATTAGACTCAAATAGTCTACAAGTGTTTGAAACTGCATTGATATTATTTTTTAAAATTTAAAATAAGTGAATATTTATACATGCAAAAATTAATTTCATGTTTTATAATTAGTGCATTCTTGTAATCTTTCTTATTTACCACATAAAAGTTTGACAATGATTGAAAGAGTAAACAAGCTTTCTCAATTACTTCAAAAATATTTTTATTTTTTTCTTCATCTAAATATCGCATTTAGACGCACAACGCCATAGGCTTCTTAGTATCAAATATAAGAGTTTGCAAGCATTTGAATATATGTTGATATTATTTTTTTTAATTAAATTCAGTAAATGTTTAAAAATTAAAAATAAATTAATTTAATATTTGCTGCATTCTTGTAACTGTCCCCATTAACTACATAAAGATTTGACAATGATTGAAGGAATAAACATACTTTCTATATGACTTCAAATACTTTTTTATTTTTCTCCACCTAAATATCACATTTAGAAGCACAACGACATGTGCTTGTTAGTCTCAAATATGAGAGTCTACAAGGACGAGTGACACACTGCATCAAATTCCCAGATTCGCGTCACGTATGATTCTCTGCATAATTTATGTCACGTCACTTGTCACTGAGTGGGGGAGATGCTTTTGAGCTCTAAATAACGAATACAGTATATATACTGTACTCCAGTCACATCAAGAGGTAGTCACGAAGTAGAAGTGAATGAGTCACGTTGTTAGTTGTTAGTACTTTTTCAACACTTCAAAACAAATTTCTTTCTCTTTGCAATAAATTTTAGATGGTTTAGAGAAAAAATAATCCTCGTTTTAAAGCTCAGCTTATTGATTGTAAGAAAATCTTCATAGGTACATATTTTTTAGACATATTGAGTCTTCTGACTGAAATATTCAAAACGTAGTCTCTTATGATTACTTTGGAAATTGAAAATCATGCAAGGATAAAAAACAATTCTGGTTAAATCACTGTACTGTATAGTAATCACATTTCTGGGGAGAAAATGTAATAAAACCAAATATACTGTAATACAACCAAAATATACGGTCTTTTAACCGTTGCATTTAGAGTTTTTTCCCGTTCATATGAGAATGATTTACCGAAAGTTCTGTTTCCGAAATTACAGTTCTGATTACCACACATTTAGTAAGATATATAAGACTGTTATGTAATTTTAACAGAATAAATAGTTTTTATGCCATTTTTTAAAGTATTATGATAAAATTACAAAATCTTCTAACATTACCAAATTTTATCAAGCATTATAACGCTATGTATTATTGTTAATTTTACCAAAATCATTGAAAAGTGGTTTGGTAAAAAGTTTTTGATGTTCCTATAGCTCAGTAAGTTTTACCGAAACGCTTTGTGTAATACGTTTGGTAAAAGTAGCAATAAAGTATTGTTTTTATAATATGTTATAAAATTTGAGAAATGTGGTAAAATATGATAATTTTAATATAATATCTAAGAGCAAGGCATAAAAACCATTAGGTTCTATTAAACTTTTCAGCTTTGCACTTTTGACTAAATGTGTGATACTTACTATAATTTTAAAAATCGGAATTTCTAGTAGGCTGTTAACTTATGAACGGAAAAATTATCAAATGAGTGATTTAAATATCGTATATTCTATGGAGCCTGAAACACGATAAATGTTACCATATTCCGTTAGTTTTGAACATATTTTTTCTCAGTGTGAATAAAATTATTTACGTTCCCCGTCAGGGAAAATAACATCCTTTATTTTGTGATAATGAGTGAAATTATTTCTCAAATGTTAATTTTTTGAACAGAGAAGCAAGTGTAAATTAACATTCTTTCAGTCATCATATTGGACAAGTAGTCAAATTATTAAGGGACTAAGTCTTTTTATATCAATTTAATTCTATATATTACCAATCGAAATATAGAATAAATTAATATAGACTAATTGAAATAATTCAACATGGTTTTTAAATTCTTTCTAGAACAGTTCGTGTTTTAAGCGTGTTTCTTTAATTTCAATCTTATATATTAGTTTTTGACCCTTAATTCGTAACAAGAATTCAAAAAAGTGTAAATATACATTAGATGGATTATTACAGAACACTATAAAATTTTCTGTTCTGGATACATTTTAATAATTTACATTATTATTTGAGTTTATAAATTTTTTTAACATTGTGAATGGTTCCTCTCCGAATGACTATCTGTATCACTTTTTCGAATTTTTAGTATATTTCGGATACCAAATAAATATGCTCCCAAAGATTAGTTTTGCATTAAAAAAAAGGAATATTAAGTATATACTCATTAGGTTTTGTAACTATTTTAGAAAGATAATGCTGTTTATTTTTATGTCTTTTGACAGAATGAGAACGATGAAAATAATCAAAACAATTCATTTCTTAATATGTAATTTTTATTTAAATAATATCTCGTAATTTTTCCCTTTAATATACTGAAAAGTAAAAATAACTTATTTCAAATTTAATGAGAAAAATAAATATTTTATTTCTTCCGATTTGTTTGGTATAATTATTTTATATAAAAAAATATGGAAATAAATTTAATACATTATTAATCACGATATTATTTTTCATTTTTTTTCAAAGTATTTTTAAGATTTGTCTTTTTATAAATGACTCTTTTTATATTTTGTTCAAAAAAACTGAAACACAATAAGAAGCATTATTTCAAAGAAGTAAAATAAAATTAATAAGCTTTAAATACTTTATTTTGTTATGATTTGTGAAAGTGAATATGAGAATTCAAAATTTCTAATCAGCTTTTGAAAAAGATTTACTTGTGAACTTGGAACTTGCATTAAAATTATTCATATAAATTATAAATACATACGATACTTTCCAATTATTAAATCAAAATGAATTTTTCATTTGTTTTGCATTTTATGATAAAAAACT